GTTACTAATAATAAAAAATCCCAAGCGCATACATCTATGTTGGTAAATATGTACATATAATCGACAAATATATTTCTTGAGAAACGTATCTCGTGGCGCAAAGATCCATTTACCACGGCTGTTGCTAAACGCACATCGTACCCTATCGTTCAGCGTAACATTCTTATTATCCTTTGACCACCTACGCGATCTCTGAGAATAATAATATCGACGGATACGTTTCAGAGATACGTTCTTAACTTGCACGACAAGACGAGGTTAACAGAGTTTCGATATGTAAATTACTTCCTCCTTTTGTGTATCGAGTTTTATAAGTAATAATAATAATAAAAAAGAAAAGAAGATAAAATAAAATAAATAAAATACAACGACCTTTTGGCATCGAGCTTATAAAATTTATACAAAAGCTGTTTTATGTGTCTCGTGATTTATGTGTTTGCATAATGTAAAAGAGATTAATCGTTTAGCTCGAACTCTTCATATCTGAAAACAAATATCATTAACAAGATCGACTATCAACGACTCTATCTATGTTCCCACAAGAAAAGAACACGAGAGAGTCACTTAACGTAAAACTATCTCGTGAACACAAGGAATCGATGCACCACGATCGGCTTCTTGCCTCGAATACCGTCGACACGTCCGCTATGTTAATGATACGAGCACGCATAAATATTCAAGCCCTTCTCTCGATCAGCAGAGAGTGAGGTTGGCACCGTCTCCTTATCCGGCGACATCTGATATCACCTGTATACTAGCTCCTATGGGTCATTAACAAACAATAACAACGTAAGAATAAATTTAAACGAAAAGATCATTGACGTATCGATAATTTTTTTTTTCTTTCTCATTATATTTTTCATTTTTTTCTTTCCTTAACTTCCCGCATCTTTCTTTTTTTCTTTTTATTCATACGGAAAATCGAATAAATTCAAGTAACGTATTAGGTATTAAATTATGTATAAAATATATTATATTATCCGTAAAATATTGCGTATAGAAAAGAGCACATCAAACTTAAGAAACATTTTAGTGTTAAACCAGTTCTCTCTTCGTCGTCGTCATCGTCATCATCGTCGTCGTTGTCGTCGTTGATCGGTACTTTTCATACTTCTCCTACCGGTTTTTAATATCTAGCGTCAAGGTGTGATCACCCATAAAGATCATTATTTTCATAAGATGATATATCTAACGAGGTAATTTACAAAACGAAAACATAGATGACGTTATGGTTTGATTACATACAAAAACAAAATTAAAAAGAAATATTTTCTCAGTAATAATGGATTTTTCTATTCGGTCATAGGTAATCCTTAAATATTAAATAACATTAAAATTGTTATTAGCAAAAGTAATATAAGGGCAAATTTCAGAAAGAAAAATATCCAAGTAATTATTTTGTAATGTTATCTGTTCTATCTGTTTGAGAATGATGAACAATTTAGCTTTAATAATAATTAGGTATAATTAGAAGAAAAAAGAGAACGTTTTAGAAATATACTGAAGTATATAGCCAATTAGCTAGATAGTACTTGCGTTACATGATTTAGATTTAGATAGATCACAAGTAATACCGATCTCACCACGTGGAAGTTGCTATATGTGGAGATCTACAAACTAAGATAACATACTAATTAGTCGCGTTTAATGAACCTTCCTTCGACACGGTCAAAGTCGATGGAGGATGCATCAATCACAACATATCCGTAAAAAAAAAGAAAATACCGATATTTTTTATGAAATATCTCACGACAAAATTACCTCAATAATTAATTTTTAAATATAATTTTTACATTCTCGGTATGTATAATACAAAGTTACGTTTAATATATAATGTATTGTATTGTCAAGTTTATTACAACTAATATATTACTAACTAATTTTATTACATCGCATTATTCATAAATCAAAATTCAGATATTTAAAGGTTAAATGAGGAATAGATTATTGGAAAAATATATTCAAGCATTTTAAACGACTTTAATTTCTAAGAAACAGATAATCGACTAATCTATCATTTTTTTCTTAAATTAGTCATATTCAATAAATACTTTTTACTAAAAACTTAAAAACTAAAACTTTTAAAAATAAAAAAATGAAGCATAAGAATCTCAACACATCGAGCATTACATTTACATTCTTATAAACTAACATTTATATAAAACATTAGAAATAAAAAAGTTTAATAAATAAAAACTCATTTTTTAAAATATACTTTATCAATATATAAAAAAATATATAATCTGAAATAGTTCTGAGTTAATTACATATAATTTTATTAGCATAGCATTCTATATTACTCTTTCTCAATGCTAATTTATTACCAGCATTCACGATATCAAACACTTGAAAAATAAAAATAAAGTATATATGTATAACAAATCGTATAAACATATAGTATATTTGAAAATTATTAACCTATATAAATTAGCAATTTGATCTATTTATATAATTCCTTGAAAAATACCTATTCTCAATGCCAAGATATACGATCAAAAAA